TCTGCCGCGGAGCAGTTCCCGGCTCTGGTCGCGTTGTATTGGTGGCGCCCACTGCCGGCAAAGCAGTGGTGGTGCAGCGGGCAGCGGAAATTTCCCAGGCTTGGGGGGGAAAACCCCCCGTTAAATCGTGCTGGCTTTGTCATTGTTTTCCCGTCGGCTTTTGGGCCGTGTTTCAGTCTCAGATTATATTGCAAAACAGCCTGCTCAGCCTCGTGTCCTCAGGCGTGCTAGTACTACAAGCCCCACCATCCCCAGCCAGCATGGCCCAGTGGGATGGGAGTTGTAGTCGAGCCCCTCTGGAAGGCAGCCAGGCTGAGTGGCTCAGGACCCCGGGCAGGGCTGCTGCTTCCCCCTCGCAAGGACAGCCTGGTAGCCCAGAGGCAACTGGACGGGGAGCAGAATCGTCGCTTCTGGGCAGGCACCCCCAGGAATTCCCCAGCCTGGCGCGTCGTGATCGCCTTCCAGAGGCGGGCAGGAATTCTGGGGGCTGCAGCCCCAACACAGCTGGCGGGGCAAGTTGGGGTGCCCAGCCGAGACCCCCGAGCCCGCCGGCTGCCGCCTCAGCTCCTGTTCCCACCGGCAGCCCTTTGGGGCCCGGAGGCCCTCGGCAGCCCCGGCCTCCGGTGCCGAAGCTCCTCGGCCTCGTTTGGGTGCTGGGCTCGGCCGCTGTGCACGGGGGAAAGCCCGCCGGCACGTTGCTGGGGCCTCTTGCCAGGCTGGCACTTCGACTGCCAAACGCAGCAGGATCGTTCTGCCAGGCGTCCTCCTAAGACCTCATTTGCAGCAAACGCCGCTAAGAGATTGGCTGTGAACAACTGCCGTGAAAACGAGGGGTTATAAAAATAAATTTGATCAAGCGACATTAAGAAGCGGATGCCAGATGGAATATTTCTTAATTTGAAACAGAGCGGTGTATCAGAAAGGCAGTTTAAAATCCTAGCAGAGAACAATAAAATTAGTATCCAACCGCCATAATAAAACCGGTAGTAAAAAATTCAATTACAGAGACATAATAGTCACTTGTCCAGTTAAGTGGGACCATGTTCATTTCGTTCTGTTTCTAGTTGCTAAACTTCGGCTTTTCTTTCAGGTGGACCATCACCGGGCTCATGTTTCCTTAGCAGGAAATCCCACTGGCTGAGTTCCCACCATGGCTGAATTGGACCAGTTTTTCTCGGTTCAAATGTCTCACACTGTAGTATCCAAGTTCCTAATGGGGCATTAGAACATATTAGCAATATGATATTTTACATCTGTTGGTTATTCGAGATTCATTGGTTATTCATCTTTATTTTATTGCTTATGTTTTGTTCTTTCTTTTTCTAAAAATATTTTCAATATTCTTTTAAATGTGTATTTGTATCAACATCACTTCCCTTTCTTTTAATAATATCCACAGCAGTTTTTCTGGGTTTAAACAACACACTGAGCCCAGAAACTAATCAAGGGGCTGGGTTCACACAACGTGCTGGCTAAACTATGGCTAGTTTATGGTTTATGGTACTGAGCAAAGCCAACCATTGAATCCGAAAGGAGGCAGCTTTTGGTGAGACGTTTCTAATCCCGAAAGGCCCCCTTGGCATGTTTTATTTCCAGCTGGGGCAAGCAAGGTAAAGTAACCTTTGAGGGATCTAGAAAATCAGAACCTCAGTGAGAACTGAGGAGGCCTAAGGACACCCCAGGGATTCAGTCTTATTCGCTTTGAGTAATCTGGGGTCCACAAAAATCTTGTGGGTCCACGGATAGATTTCAGGGGGTCTGTGAGCTTGGACAGGAAAAAAATTAAGACTTTATTTTCACTAACCCCTAACTGATATTTAGCTTTTCATTCAATAATAGTTACAGGCAATAAGGTAATTCATGACTTCCGGACTCCAAAAATGTTTGTCAACTTCCATAAATCTCACTATCTAAATTTTTATATTCTGAGAAAGGATATTGTTATTGATTTAATGGATTAATAAAGAAGCACAAGATTGCTGGATCATGTTATTGTTTTCAAATATTTTGATAACTGTCTTTGAGTGTAACTGGTGTCCTTGGTAATACAATATCTCTTTGATTTTATGCATTTTATTGATTTAATGGATTAATAAAGAAGCACAAGATTGCTGGATCATGTTATTGTTTTCAAATATTTTGATAACTGTCTTTGAGTGTAACTGGTGTCCTTGGTAATACAATATCTCTTTGATTTTATGCATTTACGTTCATTTTTCTGAGAAGGGGTCTGTTGGTTTCACTGGACTCTCAAAAGAATCCTTGGCACAAAAAGATTAAGAACTCCCGGTTAACTGTCACTGACAGAATTAATTAGACTCCACAGAGTTCATGCAACATAGTCAGCTATAAAATTGCTTGCTTAATTTCGGCTGTGTAGGGTGAACATCAGTGACGGTTTCATGAAGAAACCCAGGCTCAGAAGGACTGCCCTGTGAACCAAGCTGGAGCAAACTAAAACTGCGTTATGATTTAATGAAAGGGTGGATAACCCCAGAGGTGTCCGGCATGAGCTGTGGTGGTCTCATGACGTTGTGCCAAGGATGTTGATGATGCAATTTGAGCTGTGACCGCCGGTTAAGCAACTGCCTGGAGAAACACAGGGCTGACCTGAGAGTTTTCGTTTCCCGCCGGGCAACTGTTCTCTGGTTAACTCCCTTATGGGTTCAGTGTCACACAGACTTGCCCAGCTGGTACTCTTTCTGTGTGTTTAGCCCAGTAGATTAAGCTAGCCAGCAGGGCGGGTTTACCCTTCGGCGTGTCTTAGAAGCCCAGCTAAGTAGCAGCTCGACTGGTGTCCCAAGCGAAGCAGGGCTGACCCCGATGAGTCCTTGGGCAGGAAAAGTCTCTGGTTCAGCAACAGAGCAAGACTCCTCAAAGCCCCAAACTGCAACCAGTCTGGGGAAGCGCTGAGCTGGGCCAGGCTGCCCGTAACTGGTTCCCTCTGGAAGCCTCACCAAAGGTTTGGAAGCAACAGCTGGCTGGACATTCGGCCTGGGAAGGGCAGGGATTGAGCCCAAGCAGAGGCAAGCAGACGGTGCTGGTTCCCTGTCAGCCCCACCAGGTAGCTCAGCCAGGAAATCAGCTCCACAGGAAGGCTAAAACTACTTTGATGGAGATGGGCTATCAAAACCAAAGTCTTGCAAGCCGGATTGTGCTGGACCTCCCCGCCCCCCCCCCTTATACTCCTGTGAATCAGGAATGTGTCTGCCTGATCCACTTGTGAATGTTATCTGGATGTTTTGGACTTAAAAAAATGTTTCAGCCCCTTTAGCCTAGGGAACGGTTCCCATGTATCTCCGTCAAGATCGTCTTCCTTACTCTCTATGTCCCCAAAGCAAGGAGGCCTCTCTTAAGAAGTGGGGATGTACGAAGCTCACCTCCACCAGGAGGGCCAAGTTCACTCCTGGAATAGCCCAGCATTCGGCATCCTTCCTTCCGTCGCTCTGACTCTTCGGCATCCATGCTGTTGCCCATGAGACGTGAAGACAGTCAATAAGTGCCCTGGTCAAAGAGTTGGTGGTCTAAGTTGGCTTTGCTACGAGGAGAGGAGAAGCATTGTTGGGGGCTGGGACCCTGCAGGGGACGTAGGCAGCTGCCTGGGCAAATCCAGCACGGAAGGACAACAAACTCCAGTAACAGAACGTTAGAAACCCGGTTCTTAGCAGTCTGTTTGTGGCACAGCTACCAGTCATGGGTCAGGCTGCCCACAAGTGACAGATGGCCTTAAAGGAGGTCCAGGAGCCTCCACATGGGGTGGGGGAAAGGGTGTCCTCATGGGCAGGCAAGGAGAAATTATACTGCTTGCATCATGACATCACACAAATTACAGACTCGTTTGCATGACGATGTCATGACAAGTGATTGCCACCACAGCTTATTCAAGTTGAATGTGGTCCTCCTTAGCTTTCTTGATGGACCTGAGTCAGCAGGTTTTGGAGCCCTGAGGCCTTGTTGCCTGAGGAGGACTCCTGCAGGGAGTGGGGTGCCCAACTCTGTCTCCAGGAGAAACGTCCTGTGCTAATTTAGGGAGCTCTACATCTTCCTCCCAGGAAGCATCACTCAGATGTAGGTTGCTGCTCACATCTATTCCTTCGTTCTACGCAGCTGCATGACAGGATCGGTTCTTGGGTGGAACAGACTATGTTCATGGACTCCTAGAACTGGAAGGGGCCTTTGAGGCCATCCAGCTCAACCCCTCCTCAGGACAGGAATCCAAATGAAAGCGTCCCAACAGATGGGTCTCCAGCCTCTGTTCCAGCAAATGCCACGCTGGAGAATCGGCCATCTCTGGACGGTTGGTTCCCCTATCAAACCGCTCTTATTCTTAAGTTCTTTTTTCTAGCGTTCAGTTGGCATCTCCTTTCCTGTAACTTCATCAGATTATTTTGTGTCCTCTGGAAAGAGAGACAACCAATCTTGACCTTTTGTATGACATCCTTTTGGTCTGAAGAGCTCTTGCTCTTCTCCAACTCAACTTACCAACTCCCTCATTCTCTCTTGATACAGATTAGTTTCTGATCCCCTGATCATCTTGATGGCCCTTCTTTGAATTCCCTGAATCCTTAAAGTGTGACGTCCCAAACTGGACGCAAGGCTCAGGGTGGGCTGCCAGCAGGATAAAGAGGAAAATCGTGTCTGTGATTTGGAAATCATGCTTCCATGGACGCAGCCTAAAATTCGGTCTGGCTTCCTTGCAACTGCATTGCATGGCTGACTTGTATTTAATCTGCGATCAACAACTGTCCCAAGATCTTTTCCACAGGTATTGCTCCCAAGCCAGATATTTTTCCACCCAATTTTGGTTTCCAAAATGGTCTCTGTTAAATTGAATTCTGTAACTATCCCATTTCTCCAACATATTAAGTTTTAAATATTTCCCTCTGCAAGCATATTAACCAGCTCAGCCAATTTTATATCATCCACAAATTTGGTAAGTGGAGATGTGCAAAGCTCACCAAGACCAGAAAGGAACATTCCAGAAAATTCCAGACTGTGCTGGCTGGGGAATTCTGGATGATGAAGTTCGCACATCTTAAAGTTGCCAAGGTTGAGAAATGCTGCCGTAGATCAAACCATTCTATGGTGGTTCTTTAGAAAATAAATCCTTCAAACAGAAAATGTTTTGTCATCATCACAGTAAAGATTTTTGGGGTCCTGGACTTTACTTTGAGCTGGGAAATGGATGAACTCCATCCTCCACCTCTTAAAATTGGAATAATTTATTCTGTGGAAAAAACAACAACCACCACCTCTAGATGCTGGTGTGTGAATTTAAAGCATTCTCTGAAAACTCCACTTTCCAGGATTACTTATGAGAAATTCTTCTGCAGGAATGAAACCAATTTAATACCAGAATTAAAGGCTTCAAGAATTAATGGGCTGAGTTCACTCATCACACAACCATAATCTGAACCTAGGCATTGATAGTCTGTAAACCATGATTCCTGGCTTAATGTAATGCATGAACCCAACCAATTGTGATTTACCCAACATATCATAATTAAGCAAACCTTGATTTCATCCAATGTGGGAGCCCAGTCAAAATATGTTCAGGATAAAGACGTAAGAACGATAGTAGAGCACAAGGAAAATTTGCAGTGGATGCTAGATTTGGAAAACCAGAGGGGGGGGGGGGGGGGTGAACTGAGGTGCAGTGGTGTGCTCGAGCATTCGCAGAGAGACAGTGTTGTTGTCTATAACACAGCTGCAGCCGTCAGCTGCTTCGCGTGGGAGCTGTCCAATGTCCTGAACCCCATGTGGCCACTAGGCTTAAACGGGGTGTGTTCGCATGACCCCCTTACCAGACCAGGTTCAAACCTACCAGCTGCCTTCACACATCACACCAAACTTGGTTAGTTTTTAGGGGCTTTTTTGGTGAATAAGCATGTGTTGTGGGCCCAGCCCATGGGTTTAATTTATGTTTCGATATATTGTGCAAACCAGGAAAGTGATTCAGTCATCTGGCTAAATGGGTTGTGTGCACACAGTGACAGAAAACTGGGTGCAAGGGAGGAAAGAATTCTGGCTAACGTGACAGTGTTCTCTGGGCAAGGAACTTATTTCAGGGAAAAGCTTCCGGTCATATTCCTAAATTATTTGCCCACGTGGCAATGGTGGGATGGGCATTCTTTAAATGATTGTAGTTCTGCCAGGCCCATGTTCAGTGTCTGAATGAGAATCAACCCCTTTAGTAAAAATCATAATTTAAGTCATGGCAGGACTCAATATGCTAAGTTTGTGCTTAGCATATTGTGCAAAGCCGGCCAATTATACTTCGTTCAACAAACCTGGTTATGCGATTCCACTAAAGTTTGCTCCACTCGCAGGGCTGCAGCCGCCGAGGGGAGGCGTTCGTGGTCACCTGCTGTGTTTTTCTTGATGTCCCCAGATATTTTCCTCCAAAAGGGAGGCCAGAGTAGCTCCTAATTAGTTTTATGCCTTTATTAAGTATCACAAACCTTAAAAAATGAGCAAAATAGAGACCCCAGATGAACGCTCAGAGGCACTTTTAACTTCCCCTACGCTTCCATGCTTTCTAAAGAGCAGGCGCGCTCACCAGCCAATGTGGCACCCTCTGGTCAGGTGCCAATCCTCACAGTCAGGTTGCTGGGGGGGCTCCTGCCCTCCTTTTTTGATTGTACTATTTGAAAATAGCAAAGGCCCAATTTGCACGTTCTGTTCAAGAGAAAGGGGTGCAAAGGAAACCCCTGCAGCAGAAGTGCCGTCTGCTTCCCAAAGCTGCAAATGAAGTTGTCACATTGCAACGTTTGTGGAAGTTCTGCACTTCCCACCTTGCTTTCCTGCGGGGGGGGGGGGGGGGGAATTGTGTTACAGTGGGGGAGGACCTTTTTTCCCTTTTGGAAAAAAAAAAACACCACTGCTCCGTTGCCTTAATTTTTTTCCTTCTGAAAAAAAAGGAGAGGTGGAAACCCAGTGAGCAAAATAAGTATTTTTTAGCAAAACAGACTGAACGCAAATGATATAAAATGCCATTATATCAATGTTAGTGAATCTGCTCATGCTGCAGAATGTCTTTTGCAGGGAAAGAAAGAGAGTAGAAAAGTAGAAGTTCTTTTTCCCCTTTTCTCTCCCAGTCACCAGGAGCGGGGGGGCTCTGCCTTCTCCTTGAATTCTGAAATTTCAGCAGGCACGGCTGGCTCAACCCTTGAGGACTAGAAATATGGGTTGTTTTTCATTTTTAAGCGAAGTGCTGATGGTTTCCAGAAATTAAGTGCTGGAAAATGAGATTCCAGGAGACCCTTAGAAGACCTCCAGCCACTGCTAATGATGAGAGTCAGAAAAGCGCACGGTTGTCGGGGAACAGATCAGCTGCTGAGAAATGAATGAAACGCGTTAGGGCAGATACGGAAGCAATTTGGGGTGCTGGCTTAAACCCCCCTGAACTGAATCACCGAGTGCAGCTAATTTGATTTGCACTGGGTTCCAAACACGCCACGGCAGCAGCAGCGGCAGCAGCAGCTTCTCCAGACCTGGGGCCCTCACATGCTTTGGACACCTGGACGGCTCCAGGTTAGAGGAGTTGCAAGAGAAGCGCCATAGCCAGGTCTGCCACCCGCGTTGTGCTGTTTCACTAGCTCACCGGCAGGGGGAGCCAGCGGCATATGTTTTGCTACCCTTGGGAGGGCAGCCCAGGAGCTGCAGGCGTCAGGTGACAAAGGGAACCAATGGGATTTCTTGTGGCCCTAGAATGCAGGGGGCAGGCACTCCGGAGTCCCCTATCTATTTAGCCTACAACTCCCACAATTCTTTGCCTCTGAGTGTTTTGCCGCTGATGGGAACTGAAGTCCCAAAGGCTTGGAAAGGTCTCTGAGGCTTCATTCCTCCATTCTGGTGTTTCTCAACCTCAGCAGCTTGAAGATGCGTGGACTTCAATTCCCAGAATTCCCTAGCATGCATGCTGGCTGAGGAATTCTGGGAGTTGAACTCCACACATCTTAAAGCAAGCTGTCTGGGGAATTCTGGGAGTTGAAGTCCACGCAACTTGAAGTCACTGAGGTTGAGAAACACTGCTCCATTCGATCAACTTTCATCCTCCTTCATGGCTTTACTTTGAGCCCCCTTTTCTCATCTCCTTCATCTCTGGTCCCCAGGTTTCTAAGTAGCAAGAGCTCAAGGCAGTGGGATAACTTTAAAAAATGTTTATTATTATCATCATCATCATCATCATCATCATCATCATCATCATCATCATCATTATTTCAAGATCTTAACTTTTTCACATTTTTAAACCGGTTTCTCAAAAAAGGCTGGGTGAAGTACAAATTAAAAAAGTCAGTTGAGCCGCAGCGGAGGGTTAGAAATCACAGCAGTGGGAGGGGGCCGGGGGGCGGGGGGCGAAGCCGACTAACCCAGGCAATATATACAGACAGGGACAGACCAAGAAATCAATGCACACCATTCACTGGGGAAGGCCGCTGCGGGAATCGTCTTCCGCCTTCCCTTCCGTTTCTTTTTTCTGTACGAACACACCAAAGCATGCTATGAAGTCAGCGGGGAAAGCAAACACAGACAAGGAACGCGCTCTGCATAAGAGGAAACGGCTCTCGTGCACCTACTTCGCTTCTTCCTTTCTTCCGTTGCGTCGTCGTCTTCTCCGGCGCTTCCCCGGCTTCAGGTCAGGTTGTTCTGCAAACAGTTCACTTCGGGGTCGTCTGGCGTGCCTTTCCCGCTGTCAAGCTTGGGCGACACGGAGTTCTGAATGTTAAAGGATTCCTCGTCCTTGAGGCAGGATTTCAAGGGGTCCTGGAGCTTGTGGGGGGCACTGGGATCATCCTAGATGGATGCGGGGGAGGAAGGGGGCAGGAAGCAGGAGAGAGAAAGCAAGTCAGTTCCGGGGATCGCCTGAACGGACCGGGGAGACGGAGTGCAAATGGCCTGGGTCACAACGGATTCACCCACCCACTCCCTCCCTACCAGGCCTCAGCAGGAGACACCACCTGGCTGGCCTCAGCGGCTTTCCAGAAGGGTCAGGATGGGCCCGCCCAGGGGTGAGAGAGCACCAAGGAATCCCAGGGCTGGAAGGCTGCAAAAAGATCTGGGCAAACCCACACAGCTGGCAAGGGAACTTTACGGGCAGAGCCGTAAAACGGCCAGGAGTCAAGCTCAACTCAACGGGAGCCTTGCCCGTTGCCCCGAAGACCCCGGGCTGATCTTGGACAAGGGCAAATGAGCCTCAGCAGAATCTGGGGCTCCTGACGTTCACAGTCCCCTCAAGGCTGCCAGCCACCACACTTGTTCTCAGCAGAGATGAAGGTGCCGAGGAAACAGCTGAGGTGGGGAAGTGTCCAGATCCACGGCGTTGCCTTGTACCACAGTCTCAGCACACCATCCCTACAGTTGGTCCCCAAGCTCTGCCAACAGGGCTGGGCTGGGCTGGGCTGGGCTGGGCGTGCCCATGGAAGCAAGCGAGCCACCTTGGACCACCAGCCACACAATCAAGGGGAAGACAAGCTCTAGAACCTGGCGGGTATTGTGCAAATGTTGGCGCCTTTCATAGGACAGGCCGACCCTGACCCATCTTTTCAGGAGGAAGGCATCATGTACTCATTCTGTGCACTGTCACAGGGCCAACCTTCTGCAGAAAATTGGATTCAAATAATAATAAAAAACAATAATGCCCCAAATCTCATGCACTCCTGCTGGGAATATCAAGATCTTGTGAGCCAGGGGAGTACACGGGGGACGTGGAGGAGGTATCAAAAAAGTGAAGATGTCAGCCATCACGGCACAAAGGAGTGCCCCTTTTTCGCACGCATTGCGTAGGCAACACATATTACCACAATTGTGTTTTTGACCCTCCACCCGCCCCCCGCAAAGCTCCTGCCACAGTGAACGATGGGTGGAATTTGGCATCACTGTAGACCGAAAGGTGGCTTTTAATTAAAACCTGGTGAAACGAGAGCCAACTTTGGACCCACTGCCCAGCTACCTTCAACACCCAGATGAAAGGACCTGTCCCCCACGCATCTGGACAGAGGCAGCCTGGGGGAAGCTTTTCTGCCCTACCCAGAGAGGGAGGGATCCCAAGCACCATTCACACGGATTTCTTTGGCCTGATGCATTTTGGAGAACGTGTCTTTCTTGATGGCCTTCTGGCTGTCGTGCTCTGCAAAACCCGCTGAGTCCAGGGCCTGCCCTCCGCTGGGATCTCTCAGCCCAAGGGCCAGCTGTCAGGGGCCCCCTTGGAGGCAAAGCCGAGGAAGCTACAAGACCTGATTTTCTTTCCCATGTGGCTTGGATGGGAAGTTCTAAAAGGTTGCTCAAGTCCCAGTTTAGCAGCTTTGGCTGCCTCTCCCTGGAAAGGGAGGCGTTCAGCATTTTTTAACGCGATACTGCTAGCGTTGTGCTTTCTAGAAAAGTTAGACTCCTCTTGACTTTTATTTCTATTTATTCTAGCTGTGACGGTCCCGTAACAATCCCATACACTCCAGCAAGTAAGCGGGGCATAGCAGGTTGCTGACTTCACTTCTTCCCTGCCCTGAGAACTGCTTGGTTGACTCCAAAAATGAAATCGAAGAATGAGATATTTAATACCTAAAATTAAACCAATGCATGTCAATGCATACCTCTGCATAGTTAAAACAGAAAATAAAACATAGGGTTGGGCAGCGTTCTGCTTTGGATTCCCAAAAAGAGCCTCAGAGGGCAAATGAGCAGTTATCTGCGACTCTTTAAAGCAGCTCTGTCTTTTCCCAGGAAAGGAGAGAGCTGCTTTAAAGAGCCGCAGACCGCTGGCCTCCAAAGCTCTTTTTCTGCAGCTGAACCTGAAGCCCTGCCCGGCCCTCAGGTGGAGCCTGGGGGTGAAACTCTGCTCGCACCTCTGGGAGCGCCAACGCGGTTCTGAACATGCCCCTGCGCTGGAGGACTATCCCCTGCACCTCCCCCT